ACTGTTGTAATTAAGGTTTTGTTAATTATATTTAACTTTAACACATGGATGAATTTAATTCAGTGATTTATGTATTAAGGTTTGTCCAACTAATATCTTAAGAGAATAAATTAATGATGTAATAAATACATATTTTTTTATAATTAATTTACATAAAAACTTGTAAACGATAATATTTATTTTAGTATTATTGATACATAAATAATTTTAATTTAAATTGAAATCAATATTTATATTTTTATACAATTTAATTATAAAAAATATATTTATTACAATATTAATCTTTATTTCAAAGATATAGTCGTATAAGTTAAAGTGATTATATATAATATTAAATTTTTATTTTTTCCATTACAAGGGAAAAAAAATTAATTAGAAAAACACATAATTAATTGTTTCCCCATAATATTTTCCGGAAAGAGAGATGGATTATTGCCACATCATAAATTGTTAATGCTACATCTTTTTAACGTAACTGCCTATTACATCTTTAAATTACACTTTGTCTCAAAAATTTACAGTTTTTGTTTTTTAATAAATTAAAAAGTATAATAAGCAATTAAAATAAAAAGATGTTGCATTAATAATTGAGAGTATAGCAATAACATCACCTTGAAAGAGATAGCCACGTCCGTTGTAGCACAAGAACCAATAATGAATTTAATTTAAATTATAAAAGGAATTGTTTTTCTAGCTACATGTCTTTAGGGTGTTGGTGATGTGATTTGATTCGAATATTATTATTTTTTAAGCTAATCCAATTTAATCGATTAATAAAATTTTTAAACCAATTCAATACATTATTATGTAATAATCAAATCAATTCAATTTCAATCGGATCGGTATGGTTCGGTCGGATTGATCGATTTTTAACATTATTAAATATATAAGATAATATAAAAATATTTTAACATCAAATAGAAAGTATAACTATAAAATAAATTAACATCAAAATCAATAAAAATATAATAATAGGTAAAAATCATAAACAAATTTTTATACTCCTTTACATTTGTAAAAATTAAAAAATTTTGAAAATTCTTTTTACTTACATCACTAGAGGCATCAAAAACAATAAAAAAATAATTTCAAATTTCTAGCACAACATAAATAATTCTTGAAGATTAAAATTAGTTTTTTTTCCTAATACACTAATAATTTAATTCCATTTTCTAAATCATGTTAAAAGTAAATAACATTTAACATGAATATTACTAAAATTGATTAGAAGCATTCATAATCAAAATTTAAAACTTCTAAACCAAATATCCAAAAATAATAGAATATTAAGACTAATTTTATTATATAGTTTTAAGGATTTTAGAATTATGCTTATTTAAAATTTAGTTAGAAGAATCATAAGATTATTTTAAGAATAAATTAAAAATTTAGGATTTTAAAAATAAAGGCGTAAACCAGTTCTGAGATGATAAAGTTGTAGGTGAATTAAAAATTTAAAATTAATGTTAGAGTGCATGACTAAAATGGAGAAATAACTTAGGAAATATAGAGATGTTCTATTTTTATTTTTTTAATTAAGTTAATGGAGTTATAATCTTGTAAAATAAGAAAAAGAAAATTTAAAATACTACAAAAAATGTTATATTATTTAATTAAATTATCTTCTAATCGGATTTTATTTTGTAATCGGGCAGTTCGAGTAGTTTGAAGGTAAAATCACGAACCAAACCAATTATATCGATTTTAAAATTTTAGAATTCAAACTAATCCAATTTTATATTGATTCGGATCGGTTTTTGATTGGATTAGATCAGTTTAGGTCGGATTAATCAGATTGGATCGGATATGAACACTCTTAAATGTCTTTAAAAGTACAAGGAATGTATAAAAATATTATAATTATAATATTA